GATCCCTCTCCTCGCGGGACAGGTCACCTAGACCAATAAGGTCTATGCCGCATCCGGAGTCAAGCATAAGCCTCCGAACCCTCTTCACAGACTTGACAGCAGCAGCGAAAACTTCGCAAGCACTTCGCTTGGAGAGCGTAAGCTCTAAGACACAGGCATCATTTCCTAGCGTTTTGGCGTCAACGTCATCGAGCAAAACCTGCTCTCGCCAAAGCACAGCCTTCATGTGAGCCCTACGCTTCTCGCGAGCACTATTCAGACCACGGATATCTTCCGGCCACGAATAGTTCAAGTTCCTCTCGCGATTCACGGGACCAAAGGCTGGCTCAGGGAAAGAAGACTCTATCACGCGGGTCTCAGTATTCCCAAAAGATACTGTCTTCCGCTTGACTGACGGACAAGCCATATCGAATGGTGCAGCGCAAGCGAATGCAAAGTCTCCATAGGAGGTCGCTGTCATTGCCTGAGGGTTGCGGCACGCCCCTCTCAAAAATCCGAGGGCGTTGGCGCCGGGCTGTCAACCCGCCGCGATGTCGGCGCGGGCTCAGCGGGCGCAGGAGCAGCAGCAGGGGTGCTCTCAGCTGGAGCGGCACCCGGCTTGACATGCTTGTACGGGCACTTATCACCTCGTGTGCAGGTGCCTCGTGCGTAGTAGAAGCATATGCCAGACTCCTTTGATATCGGTGACTGAGATCTTGGCGGGAATCCCTTCGGCGAGGAGCTTCTGCCCTTAAGGTTGTGGGAGAACTTGCAGGCGCTTCCTCGCGTGCATCTGCCTTTCTTAAAATCGTAGCAGAGATCACGTCCCCGTGGTGATCGTGATGGGGACCGCCGGGGAGGGGCAGGAGCTGCCCTCCCAGGACTCTGCGAGTATCGCCTTGGCGAACCTCGCCTCGGGGACGACCGTCTGGGCGATGCGCGTCTTGGCGACCCTCTCCGGCGAGGGCTTCCTCTGCGGGAATCGCGGTGCCCAGGCGATCTCGATCCCCTCTTGCCCCTCGAGTACGATCTTCGGGGGCTGCCATGCGCGGGCGCAGCATATCGCCTCTGCGCAGAGGAGGATCGTGTGGCAGTGTACATTTTCTCTTGGTTACGCCGCCGGCGCCACGTAGTAATCGCATTGACGCAGACGGTCCGCAAGTATGCGTAATTTCGCACAGACACATCTCTGTCCCACAGTTGCATATCAAGCTCGAGGCATTTAAATTCCCGAACCTGCTCATAGAACAGAGCGCACAGGACAGGATCTTCTGGACGATCGACAGAGATACCGGCAAGAACGTGATCCCTTCTGTTGGAGAACGCTTCAAGCCTCTCTTGCTCGGACCCATGAGTGAATCGATCAATCGTGGTCTTCATGAGATCGACAAGCTTAAAGGTCGAATCGCCAGTGACGTGCGGCCGGAGGAAATCGTACAGGAGCCACAAGATTTGCCTACTCCCGAGTCGCCGGTTGATCGTGTGCATGCGCTCGGTTTCGGTTTGGATCTTGTTCTTCAACGCAATGGAACGAACGCATTCTCGGAAAGCTGAGTTGCATTCGTTTTCGAGCATCCCATACTTGCACTCATCAAGCAGATCCTCGTATCGAGTGCCATCCGGGATCTCAACCCATGAGAGGGCGTAGACAGGATCGTAGGCGAATGCATTGGCTACTCGCTCTTTCATATCGACGATCCATCGGCGCAGCTGAGCGGGCTCAGGCTCTGAATCGAGCCGGAAGGATTTGCACTTAGCCTTCTTTGCATCGCTCAGTGATCCATCGCCCTTGGGCCCACCGAACCCCGAATCGTTGGGGCCGGGCGGATTTCCGGTTTGTCTCTCAAGACACACGAGACAAATCCTCAGTGGATCTCGGCAGCATCCGTTGCAGCATGAAAATCGGCAAGAGATGCACAATCGCCTGAGAGACGTTGGGAAGGTGCCGGTGCATCGCTCGCACTGGAAGGTATCACCTCCGATCGGTCGACCAGATGGTCGCATGCTCGGAGGATCAAGGCCACCATCAGGCGGGCCACCGCCTCCGGGAGGACCATCGCCTCCAGGCGGGCCTCCGGGCGGACCACCGGGCCATCAGGCGGACCTCCTCCGCCACCAAAGCCAGAGCCGAATCCGTGTCCACCGAAACCACCACCATATGCACCCCCGTTATCATTGGGACCGTCACCTCCGGGGGGACCATCACTTCCGCCTTGCGCGGGCATCCCTCCGAAGCCGGACGGTGCGGAACTCGGAGCAGGTGCAGATGTTCTGGCACTGAAGGTGGGCATCGGTGGCGCAGAATTGTTCACCGCAGTGGGACGGAGTGTAGCAGTTACGCTCGGGTTCGGGGCCAAAGTGAAAGTGCCAGTCTCGCTGTGAAGAATCGGTGCACTGGCATCGTTGCCAATCAGGTTGGATCGACCAAGCATGGCATCGTACCATCTTGATGGCCCCTTTCCTGCGGGAACAGTACGGGTATCGTAAGAGATCTGGCAAGGGAAAGTCGGACTCGCTCTAGGTCCTGGAGCAAAGCCTCGGGCTCCAGGGAATGATCGGCCACTGCGAATGGCAAGATCATCATCGGCAGGGAAAGACTTAAAGCTCGGAGCCTGGCCGGAAGCAGCTCCAGACGCATTTGCTGGAGGAACTGGCGGATTTGGCGATCTTCCCGAAAAAGAGGCTGACGTTTGGCCATAATTCTGTCGAACGGGCTCAGCAGGATTATTCTGCCCACGACTTTCTCCAAGACGTTCGTCAGCAACTCTCTGCTGTGCACGCCTCAAAATCTTATCAAGATTGGTGCCGCTCGTCTGGGAGTGCACCGTTGAGGCCTTTTCAGCAGGCGCAGCATTGCACCCCGGCGGAGAGCCATGATCAATCGGACCTAACAGCGAAGATCGCGGAATGGCTGTAGACTGTCCGCCAGGGAATAGAGCGCCAGGAACTGGTGGCAAGTCCGCAGGACGTGGGATTTCCCCATCATGGTCGCTGATGTCGAAGAATTGCGTCCGTTCCGGGCGCGAAGGCGTCGACCTATCAGAACCATTCCTGCGGGCATGGACACCCTCAAGATGCTGAATACGCGCAGTGAGCTGATCGATAAGAACTCGGTTACTCTCCTTGTGATCGTAGAGAGCCCGGCTCATTTCCGAACGAATCACCTCGACTCGGTGAGATGCGTTCTGTTCGAGAGCAGCAATACGCGCCTCAGCATTCGAGATGTTGATCTGAATTTGCTGAATCGCATCCGGGTAATGCTTGATATGGCGAATCGTGTCAGCAAGCTGCATGGATAGAGATCCAGCGCGCTGTTCGTTGAATCGGTGGATTCGCTCATCAAACTCGATGAGTCGATCGTTGATCATCGAATTCAGCCTCGCAAAATGCTCCTCGAGAGTTTCATGGTCGGCATTCCGTTTCTCACGGAATGAGTCCTGGAGGTGCATGAACAAGTCACGCTCCTTCCTCATTTCAGCCTGAAGAAGCTCCCACATGTCTCGGATTTTGTTCTCAAGCGCTTCAGTGATATCCGAGACGCCGTTCCTCAGTATGTCGAGGTCGGCTTGGGTGTTGGTCACACCCTGCGCAATCGCCAGAATATCGGCGGCGATGCGCGAGGATGCTTCCGACCCAATGGCTTCATCGACCAGGGCCCTGACGGAGCAGGGGCCGGTATGCCTCCCGATATAATCGGGGGCGGGGGCAACACCACCATGATCCGCCGCGTTAATCGTTGCGACGGAAACATGGGGTGCACCCGTGTGCTCGCTCATCGGCTCGTCGGGGAGCGAGGCTCCGCCGCGGCCAGCCACCGGCCCATAAGAATCGGGGCGCGGTGGACGAAACGACGCCGGGTCCGAAATCGGTGGACCACGGTCGTCGGGCCCGGACCCAAAGAGGGCCCGGGCGCCCTCTGGATCCCCGCGAAGGGACAGAGGACAAGAAGAAAGATCGGTCGGAAGAAGGGCAGGTGCGGAAGCAGCGGAAGCAGCAGACGCAGAAAAGGCAGGCAACAAAGGCAAAGCACGAGCAGTGGCAGCAGCAGGCGGCAGGCCGGCGGGCATCGTGCCAGGCGTTGCGAAAGCAGCGGCAGCAGAGCATGGCAAAAGCGGCGCATGATGCTGAGCTCTCTGATCGTCCTCAGCAGGCAGCGGAGCAAGCAGCGAAGCGGAGCGAGCGAGCGAAGCGTGCGAGGCGGGCGCAGTGCAGCGGGATGCGTGGGCACTATCATCGGGCTCCACGACATCCCGTGCGACTGGCGTCACTAGTGAAGAACCGACAGTCGAAGGAACACGAGGAGAACCGATCGGAGTCGCCATTCTCTCGGTGGCGCGGCCAATCACAAGTTCCGAACTTGGTCTGAGCCAGGAAAACGGTAGTGATCGGACACTGATTGGATCAGGCGGTCCGAGTGCCAAGCAGCAGCGGCGAAGCAGCAATCCACAATCGGAAGCGGAGGCCTATACGGCTGATAACCTGTGAAAAGCGGAGGATTCCACTTAACTCTCGGTCACAAAGCCCAAAGCAACCAATCGTAGAAAAGGCAAGCAAAGCAGCAAAGCAAAGCAAGGCAGAACGATCAGAGGTTAAAACCGTTAGATCGACGTTCAGCAGGAAAGGCAAATAACACTAGAACCCCCAGGCGCTAGCGGACCTTTTGCTGGGACTCGCGAATGCGGTCCTTGAACAGTCGAGCTGCGTTCGTGAAACAAAGTTGGTCAGAGTCCTAACCGAGAAGCAGAAGCACATGTACGCATGTCCGCGACAAATCACAGTTAGTACTCATGATAAACACATTTTCATACCCGTAAGAATGGTAATAGTAGAAACCCGTAAGAATGGTAATAGTAGAAGTAATAGTAACACTGGCAACCATAGCAATAACAGCAAGCAATACAATGAAAACTATCATAACATGGCATGAACAGTAGCTGCAAAAATGATGGTACTACTGTAATACTAAGAGTAATAGCAAGAAAGAGTGCCAACACCTTGTTCGGAGTTTGGCACCAAGTGTCCGGAGCAGCTCCGCGAGTCGCTTTCGCTCTTGCTTCTCCTCTTTCGGACTGGGTCTCGGAAGTAAGTTATGATTAGTAGAGGGTTCAGGATTTCGGGTTTCTCAAAGCCTCCAAAAGCGCGGACGCTCGACCTCTAAGATCATCTGGTCAAGCACCAAGCTCTCGCTGCTAGAAGAAACAACAAATCCCCACCGGCCCCACGATTCGACAGTGCAGCTCCTCTTTGCGATGATCGCCTTCGGCGGCCTGGCAAGGGATGATAGCTCGCGGCTTTTCGCTTTGTCTAAACAGATGGCTGCTGGCTTTGGCGTTGTGTGCGACAACCTCCGACACCGCAGGAGGAACGAGTGCACCGGATCTTCGAAAAGAAGCTTACAAGCCAAAAAGATGAGGAGTTCAAGCGCCTGTTGATCCGCAGAGGCACGACGCCCCGAGCGTTGTGACATCATCGCTTGGAAGCGTGCGATGTCACCGGAGCCCTCGGATTCCAGGAGCGTCTTTCAAGCCAAACCTGAAAGTCTGGCCTCAAAACCGTACCCGCACGAACTGGGACCAAGGGGGATGCAGTCTCTGGTTCAAGGGCACTTGACGCCCTGCTGCGGCGCGTACCTACCCCTTGCTCGCAGGAAGTCTCGTTTGGCCAGCTCAACACCGCCCAAGACCGCAGTCCAAATTCTGCAGCGAGCCAGTTCCAATTTCAGTTGCAGCTCTAAGCATCTCAAATAAGTCAGAAAGAACTGGGGCGCACACCTCCCCGGCACGTGACATCCTCGGGCGCATCGCTTCGGCAGCAGCTGTGGCAGCCTGTTGAATGTCGGGCTTTGGACTTCGCAAAGGGAAGGATTGGGCTCGCGAAGGAGGGACTGTCGCAGAGGGCTTGAACCCGGATCCTCTCCTGCCCTAAACCCTTGTACTTACATCTCCAATATCCCACACATGACCAGCCTATGCCAAACCACCAACCAACTGCAATATGGCCTTACGAATCGTTGATCTCGGATGGCCTTCTGCTGCCGCAGGGTCAGAAGATCGTCGGCCTTGTCCAACCGACAACCGGTACTTAGACGAGTGTTACGATCTCAAAGAGTCCTGGATGGGTTGGCACTGCATGATGCCTTCTGCTACCTGCTCGTGGTGAGGTCTCCCCTGTTAGTTCACGCTGCAACATGAAGCCCCTATGCCCCAAACGAGCCAAAGCTCTCTCAGTGCAGGATCCCTGCGTTACCAGAGGCGGCTTTATCCTGAAACTCCCAATGTGGGCCTTGTAGGTGGGCCCGTGTGAAGACTTGTCCCGATGGCTAATCAAGTAATGCAACGAAAGAGCCTCACTTCAACTCCCAAACAAGCACCATTGATTGGAACTCCCAAACCGGGGGCTTGGAGAGGGCCCAACACCAACAGAGCAAGCGAGGGGCATCAACACGTCTCCTCCTTTTCTTCGTCAGTGCCGCATCTCGGCAAGCAGGAGGCTCTACCATCGTGGTTACACAGAAGCTACACCCACGGACTATCCGGGCAGCATGGCTAACCAGGGGTGTCTTGGAGATTGCCGATCTCTGGGGACCTAGGCCCATCCTCTAGCATGACAAACAAGTCTCCTGAGCTGACAGACCTCGTAAAATATATGCTGAGGCTAGACATGGGTAATCTTCTGTTTTAAATTAGTACATATGCCTCCGCTGGGGCGGCTTAGTTCAGTCACCCAACACGCACCGAGCCACCCTCCAACACTTTCGCGAGGCTCTGGATGTCTTCCAGAAGTGCTTTGACCTTTTCTAGGGCGCACAAAAACTAATGTTCGGCTCATATGGACTCGCAGTCTGCATACATATTGTCTGACTGATGAAAATGTGTGCATGGCCGTGTGTGCGTGTGCTAGTTATGTAGTCGTACACACTGACGCGTAGTTCGAGTGACTCATGACAAGTTTGGTTCACGGCGGGCTGGCTTGAAACTTGGAATGTGCTCCTGATGAACCAGGTGCTCGAAGCCTTTGAAAGTAAATCTAAGACCCAGGCCTTTCTGAGCCCAGACCCCTTCTTCTGAAGATTAACGAAGAGAATGGGGCCGAGGGCATTCTCCATACACAGATGTAGGCAATTTTACAGAATGCTGCAGGCAGATCAGATTCGAAGGGGTTGACGGCCTTGTAGCGGAATGTCTCTCGCTCTGCTTCCTTCTCGTCCTGCCCCCCATCCGTATACGGGCCTTAATCATTAGAGTAGGATTTGGGCATCTTTCCTATAACAAGAATAAGGAACTCTGGCAAAATGTTGCTAACTATGGCGGCCCTTACATTCTGCAGCAAGGGTGGGCATACCTTGCATCGGAAGTAAAGCTATCTCATGGAGCACTGGGCCGGCGACTTTCAGCTAAAGCAAGGGGCTCGAGGCTCACTCGAGACTTGACGTGTAGCTTAGTTATTGCAGGGTTTAAACTCTCTTTTCGACTTCAACCTGTCGCGCTAGGACGGGGCAGGTAGGGAACAGTCACACACTGGGCCTTAGCACGTGAAGGTTGTGGCTCCATCAAGATGATGAGGCAAGGGCCGGGTGAACGCCACGCATAGCAAGGGCGCCTCGCCCTGTGGTCTTCTTGCAGGCATAGGTACATACACACACGTATGCATGGAGAGACATGCCCCTCTGAACACATGGATGATGGGACTGAGGTAGATGAGACAAGCGCCATGTCCCCACGAGAATCAAACTTGTAGACTTCTGAAGGTAGGAAGAACAGCTAGCAAATGAGTTGAACCCGCCGAACAGAATAGTGAGCAACATTGGAACAGCTCAAGGTCCGTCCAAACAAGATCGGGATTGTGCACTCGAGAGAAGACTAGAACTGGAACAGAAGGTTGAGCCCTTTGCGTGACAGCACATGTGATGCGGTCTCATGACGTGTTATGTCCTCCAACTGTTGCATTCGTCGGTGCCAGAAAGTGAGCAGCTTTGCGATCCTCGGATGCTTCTGACCTTGCCTTCATATGGTGATGTCACGTGTTGGCGCGGGCCAGAACGGCCCAGAATCAACGATGAGAGATCGAGTTGTGCCATGTCAGCCTGCAGCCTCGAACGCACAGCACACTTCCAAGTTGTGCCAGGCCACATGGCATCCCTTTCTTTCAACTTCCTCCCTTCATGGTCGACCTTGGTGCTGCCAAGGCCAGGGGCTTACGAGCAGACGAGCGTGGAGCATGGAACATAATGAGCTGACGGCACAAAGGAAGCAATAGCCCAATAACCCCTTTTTGAACCTGGGGCTCCCTCTGGCCATAGCCCTCCCAACACAGCGGCTGGATTGGCCGTACTTGAGCAAGTAGGCAGATGGAGGAGACGGGGGGGGGGCGCGTGGGGGCACACTAAAATGGCATAGCTGTCCCGAAGAGTGATTGTGGAAGTGCAATGTGCATGTCAGTTTCGATTTAGTACTGCTTGCGCTGCCATCTTTTAGTGTGTTCAATACGCTGAGAAGGTTTTTTCCACAAGAATCATCTGCAGACGCACCTCTGCTTCCACCTCTTGGGGCGTCTTTTGCATCTGCACCTCACGGCAGACAGAGGATTCCCAGGCTTGGCGCCTAAATCTAAAGGATAGTCGGTCGCGAGGGTGTGCCCTAGGCGCCTTGAACTTCTGCAGCGCGTCGCCACTGAGAAACTTCATCAAGAGCTTCTGCTTTAGGGCCAGTGTTCGCTTGCACTGCTTCCTCAGAGGGCGGTTCTACGAGTCGTACGTAACACTTGCAGCTACAACGTCCCGGAATGCCGGCGCTAACATAGGGCTCTGACCGAGCCGGACATGCAGCAAGTATCACCTGGATTCCTGGAGACGAACAGGACATGCCCAAGAAGGGGCTCTGCTAGCAGTCAAAAGTCATAGTCTACTGGAGCCGCGAAACCCAAAGGCTCATGCGCACCAAGGTACATCATCCGCCTCAGCGCGAAGATGTACTTCTTGTGGCGGCTAGCGTCGTGCAGGCGGTGAGGCTTGATACCTTGAGCCACTGGCATCTCCAAGTTCTGGGGCTTCAATCTGTAGGTGCTGAATAAATACCGCTCTTCATCTTTGGGGTGCGATGCCCGGGGTGTTGCAGCTTTTCATTGATGTTCGAAAAAGCACGAGGCACATCAGCAGGGGTGCATACCTAGCAGCCTAGACCTCGAACAGAACACCTCCATGAGACCTCACTCCGTAGTTTGGGCGTCTGGATACGAGTGCCGTAGCGGCCTTCTGTACCCGATTGTCACACCACTTCACCACTCGAGCTGGCAAAGATGATAACTTTGACAGGGTGCGATTCGCTTTGCAGAATTCCCACTTCCTCGGGCTCGAGGTGTATTGACCCGGTTTGGGAGTTTGCCACGAGGAAGCAGGTTTGCAGTGCAGGCCTCCAAGGTTTAGGCTCTCGGGCTTCTATATGTGATGCCTTCGGGGCACGGTCACAAAGGCGTTCGTCGGTGCCCTGATCATCACAATACCGCACAGCTCAACTCCGTAGCCTTCGAAGGATGCAAAGCTGACAGCGTCTCGTGCATTCGCCCAGACGACTCGCGATGCAATGCGACACTAGCTTATAATGTGTCGGCCAACTTGGATCCTAACCTCTGCAACTTCACAGCGCCGCCCCATACACTGCCATCTGAAGCACGTGCCTTGCCACTGTCAGCAAGCAGCACTTTTGTCCCCCCGACGCACACCCAAGCTTCACAGTCTCCGTGCTAAACAACTAGTAGCAACATACCTAGTAGTCAAATCCCCTGATAGTTTCTGTTTGGTTATTTTGGAATATACCCCAAAACCCTTCAGTAGTCACTGGTCTAGTAAGTAAGGCTACGGCCTAAGAACTCGGTCGGCCCAGCGTCTTCTTCCCGAGCTCGGGCGTGTCAGTGGGAAAGGCCAGCATCCAGGGATCCAAGCGCATCGGCTCCGGGGCCTCTCTGGCGTTTGTTTCCCGGGTTTACGCTCTGACAACTCGGACACAGCCAGGCGAGGTTCTTAGGTGCGGAGTCGGTGTGAAAAGTGGGTTGAAGTCGATTCTCACTTGTGCCGGGTTTAGAGTTTAAGATTTGGGGGTTTTCTGTCCGTCTCTCTCTCTTCGCTTCGCTTGCTTCGCAGGGGTAGACCTCCGACGGAACCCGTGACAAGTCGCCCCCTTCCCCCTCTTTTAATGGAAGAGGCATTGGGGCCTCAAAACAAGGAGCTGTGTTCCCTCGGTATAGCCGGAAGCGTATGTCTGTCGTAGACCCTTTCTCCCTGAACTTTAGGCTCGCTTCCCGGCCTCATCCCGGCGCTCTCTTTAGCTAGGTCTTTCGGCAGAACCGACGGATTGACTTCACTTCCTCCTGAAACAAGAACAGCACAACTAAGCTAGGGTCCACGCATCTGGGCACATGTCAACTCCGGTCCCCCTTAGCAGTTATGGGCACAGTTCCCCGCAATACCTACGATTGTTAGTCGTCCCCCTTCATCAGACAAAGCAACACCAAAAGATAGGGCCAACGTCAAGCACCGCACCGTTTCATTTCGTGGGGTTGACGGGCTACGTCCCAAAGCAAAAAAGTAGTCTCTGGTTCCCCTGCCCTTGCATGGTAAAGCAACAGCTGAAAACCAAACCGTGCAAATAACAAGTACGGCGGGTGCTCCAGCGTGTGTTCCCCAGTAAGAGTGTTACGAAATATTAGTGGTTCCCCGCCTTTCTTGAGGAAACAACAACATGGAACATCGAACATGCATGTGACTAAGACTGGCGGGTGCCCCGGTATGTGTGTGTAGCGAATTGGCAGTAGAGCCCTTTTTCAAAGGCAGAGTGTTCTGCAAAAGTGCACTTAGGGGTGGAGAGCAGGATGGCTCCCCTGACGTATATAGTGATTCTAGCTCCGCGGCCCGTTATAAGTATGCTAAGTATGTCGCGTGCATCGATTGGGAACAACAGGCTCGGAAGTGTAGGGCTGAGCCCAGCATAAAGTTAAACCGCAGCTCCCCGACTTTCGGCTCCCCCAAAATTCTCTACACACTCTCTGATACTGGCGTGCGCAGCGCACTAGCACGGCTGGCCACAAAAATGTCGAGGCAGCGTGATGTTCCCCCTCACTTGGTCACCCGGTCGCCTTCATACTCCGCTCTTCTTTCACCCCCGCTCACGTCGAGTATGTGCCATGTGTGCCTGTACTCGATGGACGTCATGCCATCGCTGGTTTGGTACCAGCCTCACTGCATCCCCCCTTTCGGTTGGGTGGGTATGCCGCGATGCTGGCCGCGGCAGCTGTCCACTTGGCTCACTGGGTCGCTCTGCCAGCACTCCGCTGCTTTGCCCTCTGTCCGACGGTCTGCCTGCGGACCCCCATGGCCAGGAGCGCGGTGCTTCCTTCTAGGGGCTGTTGTCGTCGTCGCGGGTCGTCTGAACTTTCCGCTGCCTCTGCGGTTTCAGAGTCTAACCCAATCCGGCGGCTGTCGTCTGCAACTCTGCGCCCATTTATCACACGGCTGCCAGTGCTTGGTCGGCTTGCTTGTGTTGTCGGTCTGCTTTGTGGTTTGGTGTGGTTCTCGCCCGGCTCTTCCACGGCCTCGGTCGTCGCGTTGGTCTCCAGTAGTAGTGGTGTCGTCGGGCTCGTCGGAGTTCTCGGTGCTGGTTGGGCTTCCCACTCGGCTTTGACGGGCTTCACGTTTCCGCTTCTGCCTGCCGGCTTTCCTCTTCCCCCGGATTTTGCGGGCTCGCTTCAAAAGCTTCTTGATCCTGTTGGGAAAGCGCCCTGCATAGATGCGGATTTCTGCTGCCACTTTTGGGAGGTACTTATCCACAATGCAGGACCAGCCTGTCAGCGGCTTCCCCCATTCTGCACCTATCCGTGAGGCGCTCTTGGTAGCGCTCAGAGGAGGCTGCCTGGTCCTTCGTGAGTGGCACCCGTGTTTCAAATCTCACCGTATGTGAGAAAGGGCCTGCCAAAGCTGTCGTCACTGAGCTGCTGGGTGCCTGCTGGTTTCCCCCGTGTGCTTCAACGGTGGAAGCTTGGGACGAGCTTGATCGTCGGGCCACCACCGACACAGTCCCCCTTGCATACGATCCGTGTAGTCGGCATGCTGGGTCGCAACGTTGGTGCTCCTTCCTGTAGCCCGGCTAGCAAACCCCCCTTCGTACCTACATAGTCGACATTGCTTTCCCTTGTAATCCATCTTCACTGCTTTCAGGAGCTGTGGTGGCTCCCCCAGGTGGATCACCTTGAATTCCGCAGTGTTGTAGTATGCACTTTCCCCTATTGGCGGGCCATTTTCGGAGAGGGCCGCGGTCAGGATCCAGGCAGAGCGAAGTTGCTGCAGGGGCCACGTGACTCAAGCGTGGCTGGGTGAAGCCCCACAGGCTCCCCTGGAGTCACAGTCCAGGTCAATCTGGGGACCTCCCCCCTAAGTCGAGAGGGCAGCACAGGCCCCCAACAACGAAGGTGCATACACTTTGAGCCAAAACTCTCTCTCTCTCTCTCTCTCTCTCTCCCGTTGCATCCAGAGATTCTCGCAGCAGAGGTTTAGGTCTTTTAAAGGGCTCCTTTTCGACCTGCATATCGTGTCTCAAAAGCCCGTTTGGGCGAGCTGATCGCCTGTGTTTAGGGGTTTTTCCCCACCCGTTCAGCTGAAAGATCGCACCGCAGGGAAAACGTGAAATGTTTAGGGGTTTCGACTCGCACACTATGTTTAGGGGTTTCGGGTTTAGGGGTTTGGGCGTTCACACTCTTTCATCTCGGACTCGCCAGACGAGGTCTTTGTGTTCGACTGCACAACTAACGTAGACTACTCTAACCTGCTTCAGTGCGTCACTACGGGACTCAGAGCCGGGGTTTAGGGGTCTAAATCAACCCCGAGTCCCATCTCCGCCCCACATCCCCCTACATCGAGGCATCACGTCGTCTGCCTCGTCGGGATCGGAATCATCGCTCATGGCACCGTCATCCTCTTCAGCTCCGTTCGTGCCCACCTGCAGGATACCTTCAAGGGGGCGGGGGGCAAGCACGGGCTTTGGGGGGTTGTTCGTGATAAACCAACCAAGGACCACTGCAAACACGGGAATTCCCTGGGCACTGGCGCGAGACTTCGTGGCCCGCCGTTCTGCAGGCTTGGACTTCGCCCTGGGCGAAGGCGGGGCGGAACCTGCGTGGACACTCCATGGAGATGTCGTGGCGTCATAGATCTTCGAAACTGCAGGCAGTCCCACCTCCGGGCGACAGGGCCCTGTTGGCAGCCTTGCGCCAGGAATGTGCAAACGACATGGGGACATGGGGAGGAGGGTGGGAGGAGGCGGAGCACCAGGCAGTCAGAAGCTGAGCAAAAGCAGTTCTCGAAGAAGGTAAGGCGGCAAGGAGTTGTAACTCGACTTTGTGTTGCTTCATCGTGCCTGCGCTGCCTTGCGTTCTGCGATGCCTGGCTCGATGGCTGGCCATATGAAACCCCCAAAAACACATGCGCACTCCAAAGAGTATGGCAGCATCGATCATGCAAATCTCTTTTTTCACTCGAAGCTGCAGTCTCTACCCTCCCCACCTCCCTGCACATATCCGGAATTAGGACTTCAGCGCATGAAGCCTCTGAACTTCTGTGCGGAGGTGCCTCCACAACTGCATGAGTCCTGGAATGAATTTACGTTTGGTTTAGCGCAGTGTCCTCCCGCTGATGGGGATCGGAAGCAAAGCGAAGCTAATGAAAGCCACCGACGCTAAACGCTTGACACAACAATGACAATAACAAGCCTTTTTTGGACGGGTACCTCCCACATTGTCGGTGAACACCTGGCCCTATACCTGAATCTCCTCATGAGAAGAGGAACTCGGCTTCAGCCTTTACAGAGTTTACACATTCGGCAGACCTGTTCGTTCCCACAAACCTCAATCCGGCCTTGCTCGGCTTTCTTCAGGACTTCTTGAGCTTCTGGGGAAAGCTCTTCCTTGGGCGGCTTCAAACTGAGGCTGTGCTCGCGGCCAGATGCCAAGCAGCGACTGGGTAAAACTTTAAAGGCGTGGACCGCTGTTTGCTCTTGCTGCGGGTTCGGCCGAAAGATGTAGCTGGAAAGAGTCACAAGCATGTACTTACGCCTTACGCGGCCTCAACCCCTGGCTACCCCTGCAATCGTAACCAAGAACGCCGACTGAGACAAGACAAGCCGCGAGCTTCTGCTGCAGCTCTTCTATCTGCTTGACCAAGGACTCGGCGCACACAGCTGACTCGGGTAACCAAACCAAATTTGAGGTGGTGGCAGGAAAGACACGACCTGCCGGAGCTTACTTAAGGCAAAGCCTCAGTAGTGCTGGGGGTCGATCCATTGTGTGATTCTTCGTCAGGCTTCAGTTACTGGATTCGCACCTCTGCAACCCAGAGCATCACAGTACGTCGCTTGTGCATGAGAGACATCTCTTGGCCCCGGTAACCCCCTGTGCGGTATGTGTGGACCCACAACTACGTCCAGGATCAACCCAAATCCAGAAATGTCCAAAACCTGATGTGGGTTCTCTCAGACCCCAGGCGTTCCGCCGTTCGTGGCCCGCTGCGATGTCGGCCCGATGGTGCTGCAAGATCCGCTCCAGCGGGCTTACTGGCCGGATCCCGCGAGGTTGATCACAAGTAGGATACAATCAAAAACGGCCCTGAAGCCAGACCTAACCACCCCTTCGGAGAACACAGCCTCTCGCACACACTGCCTGGACCTCATGCCTCTGAATATGCCGGGAAACAGCTTCGTCCCTTTGTCTTTGCCTCTCCGTCTTTCCGTCTGACAATAAAGTATAGCGCGTTATCCTTGCCGAACACTTCCTCGCTCCCTCCTCCTTCTGTCTGCGAGCCTAAATCAAAAGTATAAGGGCGACTTCCGTTGAGATCGACCCCCGCAGTTCGAACTGAAGGTCGGTGTTGGTCACCTGCTGCCCTATTTGTATTAGTGAGGTACTTCGTTGATTGGTGATTTGCCTGCTTGCATCGCCAGTAACTATACAACATGAAACATGTACCATATATGTCTTAGCCAGTGTGTTTTAACCCCTTCTTCATTCTAGAGCAAAGAGCATTAGAAAGAGGCCAGTCCTGGGTTCAGCTGGTTCTTGGACTTCTGCCTCGGCAAGGACATGCTTGTGTGGAAGGCGAGGGGCCGGCAATCGAAGAAGTTGTTGCAGTTGTTGCCAGAACTATGTCACGCTGCACCAGCTCCCAACAGGCATGTACATACTTATCTGCATGTATGTATGTATGTACGTATGTATGTATGTACACCCACATACACATGCATGCACAACACCTCTCCCTGCCTGCTTCTCTCTTGCATGTGTGTGTTTCACAGCCAGGTAGACACACAAACAACAGACAGATGTAGACATGGACAACATAAACATAAGCCTTGGTACACACACGTGTATGCTCATTGCATACACAAACATGCATATGCAGTGCAGATATATATATATATATATACATATACATGTATGTGTGTGTGAGACTACATGTAGGTACGTAAATACGCATGTATACAGAAAAAATATTTATGTAATAATATACACATATCAACATACATAGATATATATATATATATATATATATATCATTATCCATATTATATATATAATTACATAAATTATATATATATATATATATCAGTTTCCACGATCGCTCCCACTTTTTCATGCGACCGCAACGTGGGAGTCGGAACAAAACTTCTCTCGATCTTCACAAGTCCGACCGGAAAGCCCGATCACCGTGCCGAAGCACCGAGCCTCCCTCTGAAAACGAGCCCACGGCAAATGGAGGTTGCCCAGCACAGTGACAATGCGAAGAACAGAGTAAAGCCTGGAAGTATCCTTAGCCGTATTCCGCACGCCAAGGGCCTCGAAAGCCTCACTAACCTTGGTGGGATCAGGGGCCTCGTCGCGCAGGCCTGACCTCGCTTAGAGGTTGCAGTAAGCTGGAGCTTGTCAGGGCTCTCAGAAAGTCCTACCTTCGCCGAGAAGTCCTCCCCAGCGGAAACCTTGGCGAGAAGTGCCCGAGCCGAGGAAGCAGAAAAACTTCTGTCATCCAGGTATGTCCGTGTGACTAAGTCAGCCGCAACAGCGGGCCCCACTTGATGAGCCACCGACTGGACACCTGAGGCCATCCAGAGGCTTAAAGCCAAAGGCCCAACGAGCATCCCTGTGCCGTAGCGGTGTGCGCCCTGAGGGGCTCAGGGTGAGCACAACCTGCCCACTCGACGTACCTGACCTGAGTGGTCCACACAGCCCTGCAGAACAGGAAGAGTGAAGAAGGCAAACCGGTAACCTGCAAGCTGCATTAAGGCCAAGGTCCCACGAGGATCCATCGAATCGTAACATTTGGAATAGTCAAGGGTGGCCACAAAACCCTTTTCCGAAATGCTGTTGAGAAGGAGCCCCGCCGTGAGCTGGGCCTCAGAGCCTTGACCAATGCAAACGTGGGCAGGCATATGCGTTTGAAGCCACTTTCGCATGCAATGTCCGAACCCAGGCGGTAAGCCACGAGCGGTAAAAGCATGAGAAAACGCTAATAGGTCGTGTGTCAGCCGCAGCCGTGCAGCCCTGAGACACTTCGTTGGGCTTAGCCAAAACAACCATACCACCGGCAGGTGCCTAAGCTCAGAGGCGTGCCAGCGGTCCGCGCCTCCATAAGCGTGTGCACAAGGTGCTCGAGGCCAGGGGGCCCCCAGTCAACGCCACCTTGGTACCGAATGCCGTTCTCGACGAGCGCTCGCGACAGCTCCTCAGGAGTAGGGGCAGTTAGGGCCCTTGCCAGACCCTAAGTTTGGTCTTGCGTTGCTGCTGGACAAGAGCGTGAAGCTCAGCCTTGGCCGGGAAGGCTCGGGGAGAAAGGAGAGCCAAAGCTCTGGCTTGCGGAAGTCCAGGCTCACGCTGGCTAGTAGTTCGCTTAGCCCAGCGAAGGAGCTCATAGGTTCTGGCCAGTCGCCGGTGGAGCTTGCGCACTCGCATAGTATCATCATCAGAGCGAGGCCCTTGGCCACTGAGGGGAAAGCCCTTAGGTCTCATGTTGCTACCCAACTGCACAAGCTTGCGTCTAAGGCAGGGGTTAGAAGTGAGATCAAGAACTCTTTTGGTGGCAGTGCGGTAAAGAGCGTCAAGCTGCCCCATGAACTCGTCCCACTTTTCTTGGCACGAAGGCCCTGCAGGGAAAGGAGCCTGCAGCTCCTGCCAAACCTCCTCAAGAACGTTATGCCATTCTGGAATGGACATCCCTTCAGGTACAGGCCAAGAGGCAGCTTGCTTGAAGGAGCCAAGTACACAATCCCGCACCTGCATAGACACTTCCGAAAACGCCGGCTTGTGATCCGAAAAATGAAGCTCCAGGCATCTAGGCTGAGCAACCTGGCCAGACTGAGAAGTAGCAATCCAGTCAACTTCTCGAGTTCCCTCCCATCGGGTGGGCGAGTTCTGGGCCAAAACAGCCCCTCTGTAGCACTCAAGAGTGGTCTGGATACAAGAATCTCCAGGAACCTCGTTGGCGTCTCCCAGACAGATCCAAGGGACGCTCTGGCCAACCTGGTGAGTTTCAAAGATTTCCTGCAGAGCCTGCGCAGCCTGAGCCTGAGCATCAGCATCTGCAACAGGGGGGGCATAAAAACAGGAAACGAACACTCACCGACCCACGCCGAAACGACCTGAGAGTCGGAGTCGACCCGCTTGGAGGCAGGGCGGAAAGCAAGCCGTTTGTCAACCAGGAGACAAGCACCTCCCCGCGCCCGGGTTTTGCCCCATCTGTCACTGCATCGGACCCCGTCAGCAGAAACGGTGTAAAAGCCAAGCCGCTCGGTTCGCCGGTTAAAAGCCTCCTACTCCGTTTCAAGAAACTTGGTTTCCTGGAAAGCCATGACAAGGGTTCCTTCCAACTAGCGAAGTGCTCAAGAGCCTGCCAGGCCCCAGCCACCAACGTTGAGGGTAAGCAGGCAAAACTTGGTGAAAGAAGAGCCCGGGCCAGGGTGCCAAGCTTCACCAATTCTCTCGCCACGGTGGCCTCCATGTCTCCACGACGCCTTAGCAAGAGCCGAGCGGCCAGACGCACTGCCCCCACGAGGGCCAGTTGGTCTCCGCAAGGCCTTAGCGAGGGTGGAGCTTCCAGAAGCTCCGTCCTTAGCCCTTGCGCCAGGAGCTCCAGGATCGCCACGTCGCTTTTCAGCCTCACTGCGCATCAGAGGCTGCTTGCCGTCGTACTTACGCCGCAAGGGGCGGACTCCTGACAGAAAGCGGTTGCGTGCCAACTTACTAGAGCGCTCAGAGTGAGCCTGGTGCACCCAGCACTTTGCGTCTATGGCCGCAAAAGAGAGGCCAACCGCACAGGAGAGGGCCTTAGCATGCTTGGGCTCTTTCACCAAGACCTGCGGACCCGCTGAAGAGTCTCGTTTTCGCCGAGCCTCTGTCTGATCTGCTCACAAGTATACTGCTGAGTCCAGTTCTTCTTGCCAATAGGAGTGAGGCATTGGCTGCAGTAGTAGAGATTACCTCGCTGACCTTTAGCGAGCCTCTCAGGAGGGCAAACCTTGACAACAAGAGTGTGACTTGGGAACTGTGCCACACGAGCGGCCGCGTGCACCTCCTCCAGGTGCTTGCCCGAACCCTTGTTACTGGAGTTTCGCTGCAACCTGTGGTAGAGCGACGAAGGGGTCTCCCCCGGATGCCTGTCCTCACAGTGCTGCTTGATGGAAGCAAGCCTGCGACCAGAATCAAGCTTGGGGCAACCCTTCTTTACAAAGGGGGCAGCTCCAGTCTCGGCTAAGGGCGGGAAGGAGAGGGGAAGTGGGGATCGCAGCAATCTTTTCGGCCTTGGTAAAGATCAACGACTTAGGAAGTTCTGCATGGTGTGTTTCCCAGCGCTTGTTTTTGTGGGCCATAACAGAACCGTGCTTCCTCGAGGTGCTCCAGCCACAGTTACAAGCAGGACACTTCCAAGAAGCAGGTTGGTTCTGCTTCGCAACTTGAGCCTCGCGCCGCTGACGGGCACGTTGTGCTTTCTCCTTAGCCGTTTTGGCGGGAGGTCTGCGCTTACTCCCCTTCTGAGGTCCAAGCTTGGGTGGCGCTTCAGCAGTGGTGTCGTCAAGTTCCGCAAACCCAAGAAGCGAAGTGAAGGGAGAGAGTCAGGGAGTGAACCCTGAGCAAGGGAGCCAGCACAAGTACTGGCAGTGTCCGAAGAAGCAGCTGGAGCTCCGTGAGTCCTGAACTGCACATCGTCAAGAGCAAGGAAAACGGCCTGTTTGCCACAGACCCTTCGTCTCTTGCAAGGAGGGGCAGCAGTACCACCAACGAGACCGTCAAGACTGGCGGCAGCGTTGAACCTGTTCTTAGCCCCAGCAGCGCAAGGGCCCGTTCGGCCGGCCCTTTGTGGACGGCATGCGGCATAGGACAGTTGCTACCACACGCAGTACCGCAGCGAAGAAGTCGCAGACCCTTAGCCGTGCGGGCTCCTAAGGGCCCTGAGAAGGCTTGGTCTCAGCAGAGTCAGAGCACACCTCAAGCAAACAAAGACTTCGGACTGAGGGAGTGGCAGCACCGAGAGACACGGGACCCGCACAGGGGTGGGCCTTCGTTCCCTGCCCGAGCGCTCCCAGAGCCCCGAGCAGACTTGACCCCTGACCAGCACGAGGCGACGGAGGGCGTTGCATCGCCGCACAAAGCTGCGACTGCCGATACCTCGGGCGTGACCTCAGGAGGTCACGCATCTCCCAATCTCCCAAAGCCTGAGCGATAGAAGCACTGACAGCATCAGGGCACAGCTCCTCGGCGCTGCCTGCACCCGATAAATCGATTGTCATCTGAGAAGTCTCTTTGAGCCTTTGAGCCACGTGGGAGGAACAGAGGCCTCAGGTGGAGGGCGGATCAAGGTGTAGCGCGGCACCCCGTCCGTAGTCTCTAATTTCACAGCTATGGGTGAACGGTCCTTCGCGCCGCACGCCAGTCCTGCGCTGAACTTGGGTGCCAGCACGGAGCGTTGCCACGTGGGCTGTGTCCCTGACTCTTCAGCTTCGTCCCCGTGGGTTCGGCGCCATATCACAACCGGCAAGTCCCTGGATTAGCGAGCCGTTGGCGTAAGAAGTTATTTCCCCAGCAACGGACAGCCATGCCTCGAACTCCTGATTATTTGCAAAAGTGCCGAGAACCGCTGCCTGTGTTTTGGGCTCGAGATATGCTGAATGGTCTGCAGACGAAGCCACGAGCCATCCCTCTTGACCTGTTCCTTAGTGAGAACCTTTTCCTTATCAGAAAGGTGAGCGGCTACACATCTGAAAAAGCAGTCGCCACACCCTCCCCAATCTTCATACTGCCATTGTCTGTCGACAGCCTCAGCAGGATCTCGTGGGTAAGAGAAAGCAACGTACTGTTTAGCCGACCCGGTAGATCCTTGATCCGTGGTGGCAGGTGCCTCAGTCTGGCTTTTGCCGTCCATATCGGTGTCAAGCGCCGTTGGGGCAACCTCAGCCCCAGCCTCTGATTCACCCTTGGGCGGAGGAGACCTGGACCTACCTCTGCTCTTGGTACCAGCGTCGCGGGCAGGAGGGGCAGTAGCAGGAGACTTGTCCTTGCAACCTGAAGACTGGAGAAGCCTCTCGTCAGGAGGTTTCGCTTCCTTCCGCCTGTCCGGGAAGGAGGAGGGATTCGAGCAGAGGAAACCGGAGAAACACCCTGACCGGCATGGCCTTGAGGAACCATCGCTTTTTTTCCTGCTCAAGACAGAGACCTCGCTCCAACCCTGGCTAGTAAGGAAGGTCTCAATGTTCTTTCCATCCCAGGCAGCAGGACCCTCTCAAGCTGCAGGTGTTTAGACCGGTTTGTGACGACGTCAGAGTCTCGCTTTGAGGAAGCCGAGGTTGGCCCCACTGCCCCTGCGATGGAGCAGTGGCTGCCCCCTGGGGGCCTGCATCTGCATGACCCGGCGATAGTCCTCGTCGCTTTCCTTAGAGTTCCGGCGGATCTAGAAGGGACTTCCTGGTTCGCGTGTTCCAGGTTTGCTGACAAAGACACCATTAGTGCCACTAGCAGCCCGGAGCTTGGAGGCCACCTCAGGCTTAACCCGAACGTAGCCAGCAAGAGTGCAACAGAGATTCCTGCCAGTGGCCTCCAAGCAGGTCCGGGCCGAGAGCGTTTTGACTATCTCAACTGGAGAGTTCTTAGCATTGCCGAGAAAGAAGGCCCGGTAGTCGCTCGGTGCGGCCAGCCTCACAGTCTCCTTAGAGGGCTTCGGCACAGCAGCGGCCTTGGCGCATTTGACCGGTAGGGTCCACGGGCCTTTGACCTTAGACACCTGCAGAAGCCCAATGTCTTCCCAAGCCAGTCGTCGTTTGTCCCGAGTGAGACACGCACGAGTGAGGAACGTGCCGGTGACCCTATGCGCGGGGCCGGTGCTGCACCTCAGCGCAGGAACCTCAACCAAGTTCTTGCCAGGACTGAGACTCAGGCATTGCGCCCCACCACCACTTGCCGGTGGCAGGGTCGTAGGTGTAGGGCCACCTTTCCGCCATGCTGCCACTCCTGCACAGGCTGCCTATCCACTTTGCCGTCGTCAACAAGCGCAGGATGTCTGTTTCGTTGCCCCCCGTCTGGAGGCAAGCTTTGAGATCGTCTAGGAGAGTACGCGCAAGGGCCTGTCCCCGAACGTTGGGCTGTTCACGCAGGGGCCCCGTACCAGCGTGCTGAGGCTTCCTAGGCTTGGTCTGCGGGAGTTTTCAGACGAGCAACCAGAGCCGCCATGGTTTGCTCGTGCTGACGTTGAGCCTTAGACTGTCTCTTACGTCGAGCAGTCGCGGATCCACCCGCGCCGCCCTGAAGGAGACCCGAAACTTCGCGGAGCCACCCCGAGTAAGAAGCAGAGTTAACACCACCTTCCCCAGGTCGTGGTTGGTGCACACAAAGTCTCTCTGAGGCACGGGCAACACAACACGAAAGCAGTCCTGCCTCCGTCGTTTCCGTAAACGGCCTTTGCCGTACAAGGCCCAAACCTGAGAGGCCCTCGGTGCGAAAGAGTGTGACGAGCCTGCACGGACCGTTTCTGCCTATATAACCCTTCTGAGGCCGGCACGTCTGCACTGCAACACAACTCTCTGCGCAACCGAAAGGTCCCGACCAGCTCGTCGTCGCAACTGTCGTCGCCAACGTCGTCGTCTGAGAAGGCGTTTAAGCCTGGAACCACAAAAAACCCGAGCCCTGTGCTGGCTCAGTCTGCCTCCCCGGGCACCGTACACAGGACTCCCGAAGGGCAGAAAGCTATCCCCAAAACCCCAGACCGCCTATCCAAGCCCAACACTGAAAGGGCAGTCCCCAAACCAAACGTACCAAGGTACACTGCAAGCAAGCGGCTCGAACTCACCCTCCTGGGAGTCAACGTCCAAGAGCTAGCAGCGGCAGCCAAAGCGCCACCAGGTAGAGCCGCATTGCGCGAAGCAGGAAAGGCAGCATCGTCGTACCAAGTCTCATTGCCCAGCGCCCATGGCTCCGAGCGAGTGAAAAGGCTATTAATTAGGGGGGCCCCAAGAGGAGGGCCGGTAACGTACTCCTCGACGAAGTGGTCGAAAGAGCAAGTGCGGGTAGCGCCAGCACCCGAGAGCAGCAGCAAAGCAGTGCAAGCACGGGTCAAGGAGGGGAAAAGGAACGGCCGCCCCTGACCGCGAGTCGTTTTAACAGTGAGAGGGGTCCTCTCCCGGGTATGCATCTTTTGGAGATGTCTTGAGTAGGCTCCTATGGCCTCTACTTGGACATCTTTTGATTTCTTCTTTCGGCCCAGTGGCCAATTACAAGGGGCCTTCATCAGACTCTTGGCTTCTCTTTTTGACTCATACACACATCCTACTTGCAGCTTTCGCACCAAGGGCGTGACCTCCTGAAGACATTGCCGATGGCCCGCATGTACTTCGTGGAAGTAGCTGCCAAACATGCACGTAAACCAGAATAGCCAAGCCCATGCAGCAGAAGCAAAAATCATGCCAAAGATCGTGCTGTCAATGCAGGCTGTCGAAGAAAAAGTCATGACCATGATGCGTAGGGGCCGATTTCGGCTACCCTATCGGTCAGCACTGGAAAGCCATGCAATGAGGTTGGGGCAGGGCCCGGTTTAGCCCAAAAACAAAACTTGAGCCGATAAGCTTAGAAGGGTTATCGGCTGCGTTCGAGTCCGTCGGCACACGATCGATGTAGACCGAGCACCGCAACTCAAGAACAAGTTCCCAGAAAATTCCTACGGGCTCACAAACATCTTCTTTTGCAGACTAGCTTTGATCAAGGCGTCTCTATGGTTCCGAATCAATGAACAGCAGAACCAACTTTCCACGGATCTCTTCCCGCATGATCTGCTGAAACACTCCTGACGAGAGCTGCTTCGGACCATCGTCCCTAGTAAACAACACTCCCGATCATCATCTCAGAAGACGGATCCTTCGGGCTCGAACTTCGCAGCTTCGAGCGAGACGCACGTGGAAGTCGTCGTCACTGAGCGGGAACTCTCAGTGTAAGTCTCCAGTCCCCACATCGTACCAGGGCGCGATCACTGCCGAGAGCTGAGCAAACTGCTGAACGTGGCCAGAGCCCACGCGAGCGCGCTGCTGTCGGCATGCCTGGATCGTACTGATCAGCGCCGGCCCCGAAATATGACTGACCGACAACCATGTTCCAGGAACGGACGTTCGTCCCGATCCGGTTGTTCCCGATCGGCGTCGTTGCCATAGCCCTCTCTGGAAGACCGAGAAGCCACTCTGAGCTCGCACGAGCTCAGAGCATGATCGCTCGCCACCACGGAGCCTCGAGGTCCGATCGTGTACACTCGGGCTCCGAACTCGAACGAGGTCACGGAAACTTCCATCCCACGAACACCGAGATGGCGATCGAAGGACGGAACCAGCCTTCACTGGCAGTCCCAGGACCTCATCGCAGAACTGCTGCTGCACTGAGAGGTCTGAGTCCGAACGGTGCCCTCGGACAACCCAGTGGAAGAGGACCTCATTTCCATTGACGACCTTCACTTCCACATGGGTGGCCGAGGTGTCGAACATGACAGGCCACGTAAACAATGGTAGCCCAAGTTCGGGGGCATGACCTGGTCCCTTTCTGTCCGTTCATTGATTGAGCTCGCAGCATTGGAAATGATCTCCTCCACTAGCCAGTTAGTCAGTTCTGAAAAAGAGAGATAATTCTCTCCTCGCGATTGTCGACGACAAGGAGAGAGCTCCTCGAGGGATCACTCTTTCAACCACGACATGCTGCACGAACTCTGGTCGCTGAACAGCATTAAGGTTGTGTGCTGCAGGTCTCCCTCGGTCGCGGCGCCCTCGGCGATAGTCTCGGCCACAGCTGGTTCCCCAGTCGCCGGGTGTGGCAGGTGGAGCTGCGAGAATTTCCGGAGCTTCGGCTTGCCCTGGAGTGTAAAGCCCCCAGTTGCCTGCATCTTCGGTCGGGGAGAGCCGCCTCGGAAGCCCTAACTGAGGAACCGTCGGCTGCTGCTGGCCATGATAAGGTCCAGCCGGAGGGAACGACGTTGCTGCAAATGAATGAGCTATCCTGTCCCCACGCCGAGCGCTGTTCTTATGATCGCAAAACAAATCTCCTAATTCCTACCCACCAGACCGATAATTAGGAGACATACATACATACACACATCCATGCAAATATACCTATGCACAAACACACTGAAACACCAATAAGTAATTCGAAGCCCCACCCTTCTTTGCATCTGATCTCCATGGATAAAGTCAAAAAGCCCAACCCCAAAATCTCAATCTTCAACCTCTAGTTTTCACATCCTATAGGCCTGGGCACCACCAAAAAAATGCCCAAAGCCTCAAAACCCCACAGCATCCCAGAGCCCTCCTCGCAGCCGGGAAGTCGGGAAGGGAACCGAGGCCCCGGGCGTCTGCAGCGTCGGCCTGGCGGCTCGGCCAGGCCCTGCTCCCGCAGGGCTCGCAGGGCCGGCAGGGCTCGAAACCTGAAAGTTCTGAACTTCGTGGACGATGATACTGATGGCAAGACTAGGATGCTACATGTCTCATACTCGTGTTCGAAGGTGAGACTTCGTTCGTTCTGACTACAGCCGGCAATGCTGCAGGCATTCACGCCCCTGTTAACCTGCAGACCATGAGCAACTGCTTTAGTCAAGAGAGTGTCGCCATTGGCAGTACAAGTAATCAGAGTGGCATTCGTGACCTGGAGATAAAATGCGTCAGGGCTCACGGCAGCTCCACGTCTACCAAAACTACTCCAGCACCCACAGCATCGTTGCAAAGAACACCAGCCGTAGCAGCAGCAACAGCAACTGCAAAAAAACAGCAGCGGCAAAACAGCAGCAGCAGCTGCAGGGAAAACCGTCATGCAAAGATGCGGAGATTCCCATAGTTCTTCACACTTTGACCCTCAATATCCCTCAATAAGTTTAGTTTAGTTGTGACACAGGCTGAGCTCGGCACCATAATGGAGCCGTGGCTGGAGACAGCGTCAGCTGCAGAAGGGCCGATGTGAGTCAAAGCACAAGTACTGTTGTGGAAGAGCCATGGGCTCTGGGGCCATGGGCCTACACTTAGCGACGTTCTCTGTTGCATTCGGGCAGAGACGACGGCAAAGCTGAAGATTTATCGTGGTAGCCACGGCAGTAGAAGTCACACAATGGATACCGCTTCAATGACGACCACCTCCACGAAACTCATTGTCATTAAACTCACTGACTCACTAGACTTTCACTAAGCCGTGCCTTAGAAAGCTTTTTCCAGTTCGCTGCGCGGCTCATGTCTAGCCTGATCTTGCATCTTTTGCAACCAGGGGCCTCGCCGATACAGACGGCTTGCAAACTTCATCCTTGCTCGTACCTCCCTTGGCCTATGCCGCAGCCGTGCGCGCACCAGCGACCTCCTCGTTTCTAGCCAACTCCATGGGCTGCTCTTTCTGCGTGAGCGACTTGGCAGCAGCATATCCACAGCCCAGCCCAGCAAAGAACAAGGCGAAGACTTTGAACTGGCTGAGCTTGTAACCCCGCTTGTGGGGAAAGAAGGAATGATGTGGAACATTGGGGAAGACCATCTTTGGATATCCTTTTTCCAGCTTTCCTTGTTCCGCACCTTCCTCCTCGTACTGGTCTCCACATGAACAGGTCTTGCAAGGAGAGTCGTTGCCTGCTCCCCAGCCCTTGGGAGGTGGCAGCCCACCCGGAGGGGCCAGGTCCTCTGCTTTGAAGAATGAGACAAAGTCGCCGTCCCTCCGATGCTTCGGGGCCTTTAGAATGAGACTGTCGTTAACGCTCAGGAAGGATGCAAAAAGCTCCTGGCCGTGGCGAGGTCTTCCAGTTCCACCCGTTCCACCCCACGTCAGGGTGTGCGAGTCCAGAGCAAGTCCGGAGTGATCCCAGCGCATGGCGTCACGGGTGTTCAGGCCGTTGCACGAGCGCGCACGAATGATCCTGCATAGCGTGCACTCAACTGCTCTTGTCTGTCGTGTCTGCTGGACAGGTTCACATGAATAAGAGTGCCGAAAGACTAGCGGATGCTGTGCCTCTGCAGGAGCCGGGCAGCAGGCAGACAAGCAGCGGATTTGTTGTGCATACGCAAACAGCCTCCATCGACTCCTCCAAGCTGGCCTGTAGAAACAGATGAAGAAGACCTAAACCTGGACTTGTCGCAGTGTCACCTAGGCCAGGCCAACCCCCATGAAGAGCTTCTACCTATCTCACTCCCCGCGCCTGCCACCTCATTCTCTGGCAGCTGGGACCATAGCATCTGGCAAGTAGGCAGACGTCATGCGTGCAGCGCACTTGCAGGCAGGCCTCGACAAGCCTGTCCCTAACGTGAAACCCGAAGCCGTGTGAAGCGAATTTGCCTGGGACTCCGCTTCAGCCAGCCATCTTCTCGATTGATCAAAAGCTCCAAGAAGGGCTGTGGCCCCCCAGAACCCTGTCCAAAATGCCGAACCGGCCTCAATGCCCAGCATGATTTGCCTCAGGTCATGTTGAAGGCCCACAGCTTTCAGCTCCCCCCCCGGGTGTCCCTCGGGGCACGAGAAGCTTCCTCAATTCTGTCCAGTCACTTCTTTCTCAGCGCTTGGTCCTGGAGGTTTCAAGCAGGGCTTTCCAGCTGACTCCAGCTCAACACGGGACCGCAACTTGCCGCCTCCCAACAAAAATGATTCTATGGATCTTGTTCTTGGATTCTCCGATAACATGTTTACAGCCTCGACGTGGCTACAGGGTCTGCTCGACATGTCCTTGACGTGCATTGCATGTTCTTGCACAGCATCTCTCGCAGCTATCTCACACACCACTCATATTTGGTCCACGCCTCACACGACAAGTACGAAGCGAAACCGGAACCAGGTGACAAGCCTGCTTTGAGGCAGCGAAGGCACAGCTCAGGAAGGTAAACTCTTCAGGTGACCGCGCCGGCTCTGTTGGCGCTTCCGAGACCTTTTGCCTTTGGCTGGACTCAATGTTTGGGGCCTTTTTTTGACCCACTTCTTGCGGATTTGGTCCGAAAAAAGAGTCCTGCATCTCCTTCTCGATCTTCATCTCTTGCTTCTTCGCGGTAACTGCATTCTGCTTGGCGGCCTTCCTTGGCCACTCTCTGAGACTCATCTCCGGATTTGGGAAGCACCAGAGCAGCCAGCATATCACTACAGATGTTATTTTAAAGGAGGGCAGGGGCTCGCAGCATACGTGAAGGCGCGGCTCTTGCTCGTCTTCTCCCTCGGCTTCTCTTCGACAGCCTCTTCTTGCTTCTTCCTCCCATCGCCAAGAGATATGCAACAGCGGTAGAACGACCCAGCGACTCCCAGATCGGAACATCCTACCTTCCTTAAGGTGCCCTTCTCCGTTTAGAAGGTACGAGAGGTATCATCAGATCTCAACAGGAACCCTCCCGGATGCAGGAGAGTTACATGAAGCCCCGCTCTCCCACGGGTCCTTGATGCTCCACGAATCTCTGCTTGCCTGCTGGCGCCATTTGGTGTGCTTCGATTTTGACACCGATCCCCGAACTGTCTGCTATGCCCAGTGAAGACAGCGTCCATAGTCAGTTTTGTCCAGACATTGCTGCCTCAAGCTTCTCCCAAAACTTATCATTGCAAAAATCACAAAGTCTGTCGTCCCAAGGCCCTTGTCCAACTTGCAACGCTGATCGAAGCACTCAGGAGCCTCAACCCATTCGCAGCACCCTGAAAGCGAGGGCACCGTGAAAAGCATCCCTGCAACTTTAAACTAACGCGAGCTGCCCTTCAAAAGCCGTCCCATGATCTCACCAAACTGCAAGCGCACGCGCTTGGCTTCCGGCTTCTGCATCCACACTTTGTCGGCGATGCCCTTGGGGAGGCCGTCCACCTGTTATCGCATTAGCCCGGGACCATGGGTACGTCAGGCGTTGCTGGACCCTGCACCTCTTCAAGCCTACAGAGGAAGCTGCGAGCACGGTACTGCGACTGGAACCCAAAGGCTAAAGGGTTCCACGCACTTGAGCTCGCTGCAACTGTACCTGAACTGTACTTGTTGCAATTAAAGTTGTAGCAGACGACTTTGTGGCAAGTTACGCCGAGACAACTTGCACCCCCGTTCGAGTGATGAGGAGACTACACGAGGTTACTTCCCGATGACAAAGCAACAATCCCAAACGCAGCAATCCCGGAAATTGCGTAACCCACAGGGCGTCATGGCGTGGCCTTGACGGAATCCGCGACCTGTTCCTGCGGGCATGCAAGCAAGTGAGGTGACCTCCACTGGCATCGGCTGCTTCCAGTGATCATCCAGTCTTGGCTCCCAACTGGGACACTCGCCTTGAATTCTTGGGCTCTTGGGGAAGATAATCTGGGGCACTTCCACTGGTCTCTTGAAAAGTACTACCCACGTTCGGCTTGATTGATGGTTGGGTTGGTCTTCGTGCAGACCGGGAAGCAACAGGCAGGCAACATTGGGCATCGCATCCACTCTTCCCCCCGCCCAAGTCGCGAAACCCTACCCCCAAACCGCATTAACCTTTTAAACTTGAGTCCCCACACCCTCTAAACCATCTAAACGCAGAACTAGGCCCAATCCCGAAACCCAAAGCCAATGTAAGGCCCGGCCATGTCGAGGAGGAGGTCTTTGCACAAGGCCTGCCACTCATTGACCTGTGCCTGGCATGCACAGTGCAGAGCCCCAAAATATCCCAACTTTAGGGTGCAGGGTTCAGGATCAACCTACCGGAAAGAGGCCGGAGGCAGAAATGTGTAGAGAACATATGAACTGATTCAGGGCAGGGTTTGGTCGCGGTGGGTCGTACGCTCGACTCTCGGTCGTTAGGATAGAGGCATCGGAACACAGCTAGTGATCATCACCCGCTCCCCTGGAGCTACGAAAGTCCAAGTCCCGGCCGTAGGGCACTTGAGGCTTAGCAGCCTCAAGCAACACCGGCCTTCACTTGTTCGGATGGCCGGCCCTCCAATAAGCTGGCCATAGATCCCGCGATAGCTTCTGCTTTCCTCTCCTGACGGCCACAGGATCAAAGATCTTGTTTTGGGTCTGACGGTGCCTGGGCACACAGACAAGCCTGGACAGCAAGCGTACCTTCGTCTGTTGTAGTAAAGCCCAAAAAGTTGGAAACCGGATTAAGGACACATAGTGGTGGGGTTCCCTAGACATTACACTTCTCAACCGAGGCTATTGGGTGTCCAACTTTTGGGCTTCTACTTTATATCAAAACCGTCACCACCATTACTCTGCATCACTCTCTGCAGCTCTTTTAGTCGAGCAAAGTCAAGACTCCAGCACTCGCAATACCGCGATCGAAATGGCTCAACGCTTCTTTGTTATGAGATTTATTCAAGGCCAGGTGGCCAGCTTTGTCGCGCCGGTGGTCAGCTGCACGAACTCCTCGGATGCTGTGCACAAGAACTGAGGCCACAGTCAGCATGCAGAAGTGCACAGTGTGTTCTGATGGCAGAGCCGTAACTGTCTCGTGCAAGCACGGAGTGGTTCTCGAGCCTGCGCTGCCCTGAGCTCCGAAGCCCAACGATAGTGAAGATCAGCAGAGCTTCCACAGATGCCAATTCCATTACCCGCTTGCACACCTGTGCAGGAAGTGGTTTGAGGGAACGAAGGTCGAGCTGGCATAGCTAGCAGCTCGCCCGAGTGTACGAAGCCGCCGACAGACAGCAGCTTCCTCCCTTGGCAGCCGAATGGAGATCCAGCTGCAAGACTTACAGCTGCATAAGAGGGCGCTCGAAAAAAGAAGACAGATGCCCGGAGTGAAAAGGAGACTGCACCACGCCCACGTCTGTCTTCTTGCGACACACACTCTCACAGTGTACATCGTACAGCCACCGCTGATTTTCGACAGCAGTTAATACAACCCAGTGTCCGTGGCATTGGTTCTGAAACCCAGACGACACTAAAGATAGGAGACCGTTGGGCCGTCCTCAATGACATCCCTTGCTTCTTGAACTGAGCCATCAGACGGTCGGAATGAACTCGATGTCTGCGGTGGTATTCGGGTATACTACATGCATGCAATGCCAAGGCATAGTAAAATGCTGTTCAATGGTCCAGATCGTCTCCTTGACAATGCTACTTATGTCCAATGGAAGTTAGGGACGCGCAAACAAGAAGACGGCCGGCCTCCATAGAGCTTCGAAGCGGTGAGAACCTTAGAGTGAAGCTCGCGACTGGGTCAAGTGGCCAAGGCCCATCAGGGTCGGCATCATCCCGAGAACTAAACTCTCCCTGGCTCTGAGGTGCAAGAAACCCGTAGGTGGGTTGCAGCCACGATTCGCTGCATCCAGCGAAGGGAGCTCAACAGACTCTGTCTGGATCCTGCAAAGACTTCGGCGACTTCGAGAGATTGCTTTGATTCATTCCTGCTCTATCAGTCTGAGGTCTGAGACATTCTGAGACTCCGACACCTTACGGACTTGATCGTGTCGTTTTTTCGGCGCATCGTGCTGGGTCTGGGTCAGCCCGAGCCTTAGGCTCTGGCACGTTCCGGATACCGGAAGGAAGGTCCGGCGACTAGGAGAAAATGCACGAATTCACTGATAGAACCCAGGACCCAGGTCACTTCCGAAATGCTTGAACTTGCTTACACACCCTATAGTCCATCAATCGTTGCTGTACGGGTAGCATGACTTTCACAGCCGAAGGCCCGTGTGGGACCAGAAGGGACCGGTTTCTGAAATTACCTATCAGGCTTTGTCAAGTCGCAACTTCTGCTCTGCAGAAGTGAACTCAAACCACAATCCGAACACTTTTCGGGCGAGGACGTGCACTCAGAACGGCGGTGCGTCCTCGATCTGACACGGCGACCCGGGACGTCCCGGCACCTGAACATTCAAGAGCTTGCTGGAGATTCCATTTGCCGGGGTGGGGGTTGCCGCAGGGTTCCGGTCCGACGAAGGATCCCGCGGCTGTCTGGCACCGTCCCGACTCATTTTTCGCATCTCGCTCCGAAGGGCAGCGAGCTGGGAGCCGCTCTTCCTTAGGGTCTCGAGCAGCCTGGAGTTCTGGTCCTTCACATCGCTGACCAAGTTTTGAACAGCCTTCGTGGCTAAGAGTGATGCTACTGTGTCGCTCTTGTTCACCTCTCCACGGATCTTCAACAAGCCCTGCAGCAGCTCCGTGGTCTGTAAGGTCCCGCTACCATCCGCATCCAACATCTCGAAAAGGTTGGCGCGATCCGGTGGCAGATCGAGGTCATCCATCAGTTGCTGAACCTTTCTGTCCTGGATCACCAGCAAGAAAAGCTCCTTGGTAATGGCCACCTGGTCGTGCATGCCGTCCTCCGCGAAAGTAGCGGCAGATGGATATTTCATAACCTGATCCTCCGCAGTGTTGTCCCGGAAGGAGTGGTAAGCTGCACTGAAAATCTTGAGAAGCTCCTGGGCTCTCGTGAAGGACTTTCATTTAACTTATCATAATGAAAGGAATCACCTTATTCACTTAGATACATATCATGGTAACTTTAACTAAACTCCTTAACAAGAACCCAGGCTCCCGCGTCGTCCGGGCGACCCGGATGGACTCCCGCGCATGCTGCTCGGCGCTGACGGCATCGTTCTCCTTGGCCGCCTTCATGGTGATGTCCACATAAACCTAGCTCATGGTTGGGATAGTACTAAACATGCAAATTTCTACTCTTCCTTGAGTTTAAGTACCCATACAAACGCAAAGTGTTACCCAACTATGACAACGAAACTGCTAGGATAACATTGAAGATGCCCATGGCTACCAGCATGTAGCTTGCGACATAGCCAGCAACAAAGATGACGCCATACTCAGCTGCGAGTAAGGATTGGAGAGGCCGGCCATCATCACTGATGCACTCACCTGTAAAACACCGGAAGGCTGTAAACATAGATGTAGGGATGTTGAAGAAGTAGTCCCCAAGACCAATCTCTGTGGTTCGCTCTGTGTTACCGATAGTCATAGTAGCGAAGCCTGCGATCACGTAGAGGACTGCGAAAAGCAGCACGAACGCAAGCGACCTGTGATGACTACGTTTACGATGAGGTCGCTAGACAGGGGCACAAGAGCCGCACTACAGCATCACGAAAAGCAAAGAAACTCCGCACTAGAGCGTCCGAAGGCAAGAGGCAGGGTTCGGATGCCCGCCAACAAGCCCTTCACCATCAGGCGCAGTTCCCTCATAGCCTTCACTCGAAAAAGCTTGACTATACGGATGAGGCGAATCAGCCGGCAGAAGCGAAGCAGGGACGTGCCCTCCAGATCCGACGCAAAGCCTGCCAACTGCAAAATGATGTCCGACAAACTCGTCGCCGCAAGGAAAACATCGATCATGTTCCACCAGCGATCAGCCCCACACCAATAGGCGGCACAGCGAAGCACACAAAGGCGAAATAAGATCTCTGCGATCAGGAACATTGCGAAGACCATCTCTACGTAGATCCAGCCCGGCCAATCCTTGTACTGCGGGTCAGTCTGGAAGCCGATCATGACGCCGTTGGCGAAGATGATTAAAGCAACGAAGGGCTCGAGGTACATGATGGGATGCATCGGCTCAGGAGGAGTGGCCAGGTCGTTAATTCTAACAAATGTCAATTCTGCCACCAAGCGGTTCGTATCCCCTGCGAGCAGAATCTCTCGAATGGCCCTGTACTGGTTCAACTTGTACCCGAAGATATGCTTGTGCACCTCCGACTCCTGCGAAAGGAAGATCTCCAGCAACGGGAGTGCTGGCACGCAGTCGTACTCAATGTCGCCTTTTCGTTCTTTTCGTTCGTAACCTGCGCCGGCCTTGTCTCCTGCCGGCCAATGCCAAGTGGGCTTGCCAAGCTTTGCGACATCGGTGGAGGAAGTCTCCCCGAAGCTGAAGAGGGAGTTCAAAGAGGACAAAGAACTTTGGCTTCCCCTTGCCTTCTGGACCAGGCGGAACTGAAGGCTGATAAAGTCGCCAAGAAGGTTCACGAACTCGTTCATGTCCTCCTCACCGTAGATCGTCAGGCCCAGTGCCTGAACAGCATCCCTCAAGATCCGACCTGAGACAAGCTGCTTGGAGTTCAAAATGCCCAGGCGCAACCTGAGCCGATTTCTCACCGACTCAACCTCTTTCAAGCTTAGACCTTGCAGTCCACTCTTCAGAAAGGGGCAGGTCAGAGTGAACTCCTCGATTTCGCTGAAGCGGCGCTGCTTCGCCTGGACTTCGCTACCATCGGCAGCCGCAGGTATTTCTTCGGGACTCGGCTGCCCTGTTGCATCTGACGGGGCCTCTGCTGGCTGTTCGTCTCCCACCTCCGTGGAAACTTGCCGGGACTGCGATGCGACATAAGCGTCAAGAAGCTTCTGCCGGAAGTCCTTCCAAGAGCTGTCGAGGTGGCGCTCGAAGGACCTCTGGTCCTTGAGCTCAGGAGCTTCTTGAAGATCTTCCATGGCTCCAAATGCGCAGCTCGGACACGAGCTGCGGCTGCGAGAGAAAGGGGGAGGGACGTTTAGGGATGGCTTTCCTCCGACAACGACTGTGTTGTGAACCCACCTGCAGACCTACAGACTCGCCCTGGGCTTAACTCGCTCCAGCCTGCAACTTTGGGCCAAATCGATTCCGACAGACAGGTCGACTTTATTTAGCAAACAAGGATGCGCGACTGGACCACAAAGTCCACAGAATTGAAATGCGAGAATAATTTGTCAGGGCTTGCCGTTGAAGATCTCCCAGACCATAATGCGCCATGCGATTCCACTTCTAGATACACAAGATGGACCCAAAGCCCTGATTCTGTGATTTCGCACCATTGACACATTTATCCACATCAACTCGTGATCGGATTTGTGGTCCTTTCCGCCTCCTGCGTCTCCTCGACCACGCGCACGGCTTCCTGCTCCTGAGCCGAGAATAAACCGCTCCTCGTGGTCATAGTAATACCGATCACCGGCACCAGCATCATCGCCATACTCAGCGTAGCCATCGTTGAGTGGCTTGGCTACATCATCATCATCATCATCAAGGCCTGAGAACAGCTTCGTCCCCCGTCACGAGGATGTGCCCTGTAAGCGATTGACGACAATTATCCCAGAAAGTGTCGCCGACGAAAATCCTCCTTCTCTCGTTGATATTTCTCTCTCCCAGAAACCTGCTCGCTTGTTTCCAGGACTTCTGCGATTACACAAATGCTCTGCAGGCTCATGCATGCAATCTTCCCATAACCTCAACCTCACCTTGGATCCTCCCAGCAAAAAGCTCCGCAACTTGGCGTGACCGTAAGCCAAGTCCTGGATTTCCTGCTGGAGGGACTCCAGCTCTTCCTGGCTTCTGCGGCTGTGCTGCTACCACTGTGACTGCTCGAAAGGCCACACAACCACATACGGTTCTTGCAGCTTTGACAACGCCTGCCCAGCCCAAAATCCAAAGAACCCACCTGCAGGTCGCGCTCTTCCACGGTGGTCTTCCTTGGCTGAGACTTGATGTCTCGTGCGCGCGCCTACGGCCGACTTTGTGTGTGGAGATTTACCATTCAGCTCATCGCCGAGGTGCTGCCGGTCCGCGATCTGGCTGAAGAGTGCCGCAGTCCTGGCCTTCAGTGCGTCGCGATCATCAGGCGTCGGCCCATCGATGCTCTGCTTCTTCAGGCCTTAGCCATGGGCTTGGAACAGAAGCCACTTTCACACAGTGCCGGGGCACGCTTGTGAAGCCTGTTACTCTCTATGCTTCTCCCTGGCCCTGGCCAAGAAGAACCCAGCAGAAGATTCTATGAAAGACACGGCCCTCGGCCTCGTAGAACCTGCACGGCTAGTTTTGCCATTCGGAGGCTCGAAAAGCGATCAGAGGGCTCCAGTGCCTTTGCGACCCTTGTGGGAGCGCAGCAACCAGCGGATTTCATCCTTCTTGGCGAAGTCGAGTGGTGTGGCACCTGCCGTGTTAGTGGCATTTGCATCTGCGCCACTCTGCAACAGAAGCCCGGCAAGCTCAGCGTCCCCGAGTTTCACTGCCAAGTGGAGCGGCGTCTCGCCGTCATAGTCCCGGTTGTTCACATCGCCCTTCCACATCAGTAAGACTTGTACAACCTCCAACTCGGCATAGCCTCCAGGCACCACATGCAGTGCACTCTCCCCGTCGTTGGAGCGCGCTGCGGGGTCCGCCCCCCGCTGCAGCAGGCTCTCCACCAGCTCCCCGTCTCCCCACCTTGCTGCCTCGTGGAGTGGACACCACCCATCGTTGTCAGCCAGGGTGACACTTGCACCCCAACTTAGAATCAGCTCACAGAGCTCCCGATCCTTGAAACGCACAGGTACTCAGGAAAAGAAGCACGGAAAGTTCGCTTCCGACCTATAGTTACGAGGTGCTATGAGCCTATCCTTCATCGCTTTTCTTGCTGCACTTATCCAAAAGCGTTCGTGAATAACTGGGGCTCGCTCAACTTGGTCTCCCTTCTTCTTCATGGATTACGCTTATGGGCGCTGACCGAAATCAAGCAGGGTCACGCCAAAGCGCGCTGCTTTGTGCAATGGGCTCTCGCCATCCGCATCCTGCAAGTTCACCTCGGCGCATGCTTCTCAAAATTGGAGCACGGAGACTCACGTTGGGAGCTCTGCTGCACACAGAAAGCAGTACTATGCTGGCACAGTTCGCCAAGTCACATTTGCCTTCTGTAGCAAGAGGACACTGCAAACCTCTAAGTGGCCATTCGAGGCCGCGAGGTGCAAGGGCGTCCGCTGTTTCGCGGTGCCGGTGGTGTCTCCTGCGGCGCCCCACTGCAGGAGGAGCTCCACGGCTTCTTGTTGGCCCTCCTGTGAAGCCAGGTGCAGAGGTGTATGGCCGCTGTCATCCGTGGATGCTGGCTCTACGCTGCATTGCAGCAGGAACTGCAGGCACTCAACATGCCCACGCTTGGCCGCGAGGTGCGCAGGGGTGCTACCGTCCACATCCCGCTGGCTAAGCATCGCCGCGCCGTGCTGCTGGAGGACCTGCTGTAAGCAGGCCAAGTCGCCATTTTCTGCTGCATCTTGCACAGCTTGGCTAAAGCCTCCTTCCCTTAAGGATGCAGAATCGGCTGTGCCAAGCCTTTGCGTGTATTGCTGAGGACTCGTCTCCTCTGCTATGTCTGCATCGAAAAACTGATCCGATGCAGCACCCTGTGGTTGCCCAGCGGTGAGCGACACCATGCCGGAGCGGGTGGCATCGAACTCATCCAAATGACGCTCGCGCAAGTGCTTGTGCACGAACTCCGGCCCGCGAAAGAGCTTCAGACCTCGAACTGGACCGACGGGCACTAAAACCGCCATGAAAAGATTTCTATCAGCAGCTTCCTGTCAACGTTTGTAGTCCTATGACGGCACTCATCAGCTCCAGCACAACTGGAATCCCGGGCCCTGTACTGTAAAAGTCAAAGCCATCTACCATTCCAGCCCAGCGGCAGACGAGGCAGCGGAACTTCGAGTCACCGACGGGCCTGTGCCGAGCTGGGGAGCGCGCAGCGCATAAGGCTTCGAAGTTTCGGGGCGGGATTGTGTGATCAACGTATTAACGTATTATAACCAATGATGACATGTGTCAGTTTATTCGCATTGTTATGCAACGCTCAGGCTTGAGAAGCTAATCACAGAGACTCCTATGCATCTACTCCTTGGCTCCCAGTGCTTGAAGGATGCCAGTATGATCCAGTATGGATTGATTTGAAGGTTGCGTGCAGGACTGGCTACAGTACCTTCCAACACGCCTGTGCAAGATGCGTGGCTGCGACTGTCGGTTACATGCATTCGGAGGGCTGCCGCATCTTGTATCTCTCTTGTTCAGTAACTGTGTGTGCGTATATGGTTGACCCGACAATCTTGGGGGTTCCTTACCCCGAGCTCACAAATTGAGCATGCATAGCACCCCGAAAGCATGGAAATCCCTTGCGTCAGGAAGGCACGAGAGCCTGGACTCTGCACATCATGCACTACCATCCTCCGCAACCCCCGCTTATGAAGCAGCGAAGCGCACAAAACTTTGCTTCGTCCGACGTGAGAACATCACCCGTGCTTTGTGGCCAATGCGACCCGCAGGCTGCGTTCGTGCGGCGCAGAATTCTTCGAACTCCCTCTCCTTCCGTTGCTCCTCCGAAGCTTGAGATTTTGGTGCTTCTGGCCATGGGCCGACGAGGCTCCGGCTGGGCTAAACTAGTTCGCGGTTTTGTTTGGGCGTTCAGTTCACCTCGGAGCTTGCGGTAGCTGACATGACGTGAAACCCCTATCGTCCTGACAGCCTTCTTGGCGGTTTTGGAACTTCGGGATTTAGCTCAAAGTGTGGCGTTAAATGCTCATCGGAAGGTTGAGTGAAGTTCCAAATAAAGTGCTAGGAGCATCGAAAACAGCAATGTAATGGAACAGTCTTTCCCCCCGAAACTTCAACAGTCTGTGCAGGCCCAAGCAGTTGATCCCTCGCTCTTCTTCTCTCTCTCTCTCTCTCCCTTTCTCTCTGGAATGGATCCGTGCTTGGGATTTGGGATCTGGCGTGTGGAGGAACCGAGGGAACGTGGGACCCAATTCACTTTGCATCAAGGCTGAGGTAGGCCATCACATCACTATCACAAAAATGTCTTGCCGCACGATCTTTTTTCCCTCGGCAATCATGATGCACATACTATGCCAACACAGGCCCCTGCAATGGACACAACGCGACTTCCGGCGGAAACGCGCGGGACTGTGGACTTTTTCCCTGAACCCTTTCACACTAAATCCACAAATCCACTGGCCGTTGCAGCTGAGCTCTGAGTGTCGCCCAACACTGCGCTTCACAATCTGAAGCTCAATGCTCCCCTAAACCCTCCAACCCCATCAAGAATCATGCAATCTACACTCACGTCAACCCACTCCCCTGAACCTAAACCCCAAGCCCTAAACTCAAGAACCCGTGATTTACTGAACCCCTTTGAAGCGCACCTCGGCCTCACCGGCCTCCTGGGCTGAAGTGTCCCCTGCAGAGACTTCCGGGTTCCAGGTTCTGGGAGCTCATTGGTTCAGGGGTTCTGGGGGTTCCTAGGCTCAGAGGTTCAGGGGCCACGGGGATTCTCGGACTCGCATTCAGACAAGCACTAACCTTGGACTCGGCAGGCGGGACTGTTCGAGTCGGAAGGCTCAGCAGTCTGACTGCCCCTTCATGCCCAGCACGAAGGCTTCACTAGGTGAACTACTCAAACCGCAAGGCGATACGACGGACCCGTCCCTGGATGACAACCAGTCCCAATACACCCCGTACACGTCAACTTCGGCGGGACCTGTCGGTTCAGGGCTCTTGGGTTTGGGCTTTAAGCTCCCGGGCCTTGGCATTTCAGCTTCTCTTCTGGACGAGGGGAATGAGGGGTCTTTTAGTTTTGGGATTTCCGGGTTTTGGGGTCGTACACTCGGGCAATCCAAGCCAAGCTTGCGCTTGGGAGTTTAAGATTTTTGAACTGAAGAGTGTGGGGGCGTTCCTGTTTGTCCGCGGATTTGGGATTTGCGGCTGTGAGAAATAAGATTTTTGGGCTCGGGGGATGTTCGGGGCCTTGTATCCAAGTTAATTCACTCGAGTTCTGGGCTTTAAAACTGCTGCTTCGGCTTGGGCTGGCTGAGAGCGACAGGGGCCTGAATATCCGACTAACTAGGGTTTTGGGCTTCAATAGTGCATATTCATACAGGGACTCCGAGGAGACCTCCGTCTTGGGATCACGTGTGGTCAGAGCAGAACCAGGGCCTCGCAAGGCTGCCTGAAGAGCACGGACTCGCCCCTCTTCCTCGGCCAAGAGCCTGTCCCAGGCTGTAGGAGACAAGTACAGAGGGGTTCTACAAGGGTTGTTTGAATCAAGGGTTCAACAAAAAATTCTTGAAACATTCCTTAACATGGGCTCAAGGGCTTCAGGCCGAAATCCTTAGAATAGCTGCGGGGGTTTGTTATAGCGGAATTACGCAGGCAGGGACTATAAGGGAGGGCTTGCAGCAGCCCTACAATCTAGAGTCAAGAGGCTCCAAGTTTGACTGGGGAAATGCCCGGCAGCAGTCGTGCTGCAAGAGATCCTCATGATCTTGCCTACCTTCATCGCACCTCTTCAAGCCCCTGTTAGCACTCCAGATCGGCTCCGGGGCTCGCTAGCGGCTATTTGCTGCGTACTGAGTTACTGCTTTGTATCTCTGGCCCTGGCTTCCGGCAACAAATCACAAGCGACACAACCAGGAACCTTCAATCCCCAACCCTCGAGCCTATAGCCTGAACCATGCCGAACCCTTTTGCAGCCCGACCTAGTGCGACTGCCCCATACAGTAAGCGCTTTTTGATCAGGGGCTGCAGTGCACATTGACCTGGGGTTGCAAAAGCCTAAACCGAAACCCTAAGACCTTCCAGGGTCTTCGCGCACCTCGCGAGGCGAGCACGCTCCTGCTCTGCGCGCCGCTTCTCCGCCTGTCGCAGCGGTGTATAGGAAAAGAGCCTGAGTTAGAATTAGGGTTCAGGGCCGTCAGACCAGCCTACGGGCGTTTTTTGCTCGTTGTACGATGCACTTTACTACCGTGTTAGTATAGGGTGCAAAGTTTGACATGATTGGGTTGAGGCAGGAACGAGTCCCGATGCAAAGACACCCGAACACTTGCGCAGCAGCGGAGCAAAATGGCACACGGCCTC